GGCTTTGGAAGAGAAGCCTAGAAAAAGAGCCCATGGAGAGAAGTAACTGTTTAACAGAATCCTGATGTAGGGTGCAGACTCAGGCCCTTTGAAAGCCATGCAAAAGAAGTCCCTTTAATGAGAAAAGCTGGGACATCACTGTCCCAGGGCCCACTGCTAATGGGCCGGAGAGAACTCCATGATCTTTCACATCTTTTTTTACAAGAGAGGAAGCAAAGGAAAGGAAGCCATTAGTGAAGGTGTGAAACTGACCTGGGCCTAATAGGATGAGTGTGGCCAAATGTCTGCCACTGAGGGAGAGGGACAGTAATCCTCAGACCAACTCCCTACCTAACCCAGGCAGAGGGACTACTGGAGACAGCCAGCCTGGCCATCCCTGGCCCAGCCTGGATGGCTCTGCCTTGCAGGAGGTGCCACGACATAGGGCAGCCCCTGAGGCACCTGTTGCTAAATTCAGATTCCTGAGCTCTCAGCTGGTCACCTATGTGACATTGGGGAAAATATATTTGCTCTTCAGTCTGTTTCCTTGCATACAACTCCTAAAAGAATAAATGTCTTTTTGTATACTGTTGAGCTAACTGATGGCTGGCAGACCCTGGGGAGCTTCGGGATGATGGATGATTCCTTGATGATGACCGAAGCGGGGTTAGAGAGTTGCCACATTCGGCTGTATCCTCCAGGCTCAGGGAGAGGAGAGAGGCTGGAGGCTGGGTGATCTCCAGTGGCCAATAAGTTAAGCAATCATGCCCATGTGACGAAGCCTCCAAGGAACCCAGAAGCATGGGGTTTGCTCAGCTTCTGGAGGACACATGGCAGCTCCTGAGGGGTGAGTCTCCCAGAGACAGCACAGAAGCTCCTCCCCCATCCCCATACCTGGCCCTATCTGTATCCTTTGCAATATCCTGTATAATAAACCAGTGTATGCAAATAAAGTGTTGCCTGGAGCTCTGTGGGCCACTCTAACAGATTACCTGAGCTGGAGGAGCAGATTGCAGGAACCTCGATTTATAGCAGGTCAGTCCAATCACAAGTCAAAGAGCCTATGGCTTCGGATCAGCATGAGAAGGGAGGAGCAGTCTTGTGTGGCTGAGCCCCTATCCCAGGAGGACCTGACCCTGTCTCCAGGTAGGCGATGAGAGATCGGGCCTGAATTGGAGGATGCTCAGCTGCTGTCTGCTGGAGAACTGATGAGTGTGTCACTGCGGGGAGTAATCCCTATACACATTTCAGGGACCAGGGGTCACGAAGTGTTCTTATTGATTGTGTTTGACAGTTGAGTAAGAAAAAAAACATTTTTTTTTTTTTTGAGGCAGGGTCTCCCTTTGTAGTTCAGGCTGGCCCTGAACTCACTATATAGCCCAGGCTGGCCTTGAGCTCATGGTGATCCTCCTGCCTCAGGCTCCCGAGTGCTGGAATCACAGGCATGTGCCACTACGCCTGGCAGAAAAAAAGATTTTTTTTTCATTCTGTGGCCTTGTTTCTGGCTGGAGCTTTGTCTGGCTTTTTGGACCTTGTGTCCTGGATCTTTGATGTTGGAGCGAACAAACTGAGCCCACTCTTGGCCAGGGTGTTTAGGAGTTCAGGGAAAAGTGGTAAAAAGTTACTGTGGTACAAATTCATATGCTTCTTGTGTGTGTATGTGTGTGTGTGTGTGTGCATGTGTGTGTGCATGTGTGTATGTCTGTGTGTGTGTGTGTGTTACTAGGGAGTGAACCCAGGGCCTTCACACTGAGCTACATCTCCAACCTTTTATTTTTGTACCAGGGATCTAACTCAGGACTTTGCACTTGCCAGGCAGGCACTGTACTGCTGAGCTAAATCCCCAGCCCCATTTTTTAGATTTTGAGATGCGGTCATACTAAATTGTGAAATTACTAAGGCTGAGCTCAAATTTGCCATCCTCCTGCCTCAGCCTCCCACAGTGGTGGGATTACAGGCATGCACCACCACACCCTGAGGCAAGGTGATTCTTGAGGTCTCAGTCCTGATGCTGAGTCCTGATGCAGGGGCCTCTCCCTGCAACTACCCACACCAGAGGAGGTTGGCTCAGCCAGGCCAGCGGTGCTTTCAGCAGCTGCACGAAGGGAATCAAGTGTGGAGGCGACATGGGATCTAAACTGCCTCCTAAGGCCACTTCTAGGACTACTCAGCTGATCCCAAGCCCCGCGGTGGGCAGGGGGCACAGGAGCCCCCCAAACTGGTACGCTGGGCACCGTGAGGACATCGGGGAAGCCATCGCACCGGGCTCCCTCGCGTCTACTATCCCCTTGTCTTAGGGGCCCGGCGCTTTGCGGGGCAGGAGCGCATACTGATCTCTCGGAGGACCGACGCGCGATCCCACAGTGGGGCCGCAGCTCACAGCCGGTCCACGCGCAGCCCGACGGCGGCGCAGCGCCCCCTAGTGCCAGGCCGCAGTGCTCCACGCGGGCTCCCAGGCTGGGGGCGGACTTCGGGGAGGCCGGAGGCGGAGCCCAGCAGGCGGGCGAGTCTCCGAGAAACTCGCGGCCTTCGGCTGCTTCCCGGCCCGGGAAGTGAGCCGGGGTCGACGGCCGCAAACAGGAAGTCGGGCTGGAACAAAGCGCGCGGGGGGCCCGGAGCCCGGGAGCCCCGGGGCGCCCGGCGAGGCGGCAGGTGGAGAGTTGACCTGGCGACCGGGTGCACCTGCCGCTTCCGCCGCCGGGGCCGCCAGGGTCCAGCCGGGCTCCGGGCCGGGCCCTGCGCCCTGGGTGCGAGGGAGGGCGCGGTGGCTCAGGCAAGGCCATGGGGACCTCTCAGACGCATCCCCTCCCCGGGAAGGGACAGTCACAGTTCCCTGAGTGAATCATTTCCATCCCCTTCCCGGAATGCAGGAGGCTACATGGGGCGGAGGCTGGGTCTACCGGTGCGGACCCAAGCGGGGAGAGCCAGAGAGGTGCAGGCAGAGAGCCAGAGATGGTCCTGGCCCCTGGGTTGAGTCCAGTGCCCTTCTTCAGCCTGAGTGGGACAGGCAGGAACCACTCTTCCTCTTCTTCTACCCGTTGGCCAGCCTGATGTTAGCCTGAGGCCGCAGAGGGCCCCTGGCTGAGCAAGCAGAATAAAAGCGCTGCACGTCTCCAGGTGGCCACCCGCCAAGGGGTCCTGAAGAAGCAGCTGTCCTCAGGGCTAAAAGTCACCGTGCGGTCAGACTGATTCTCTAGGCATGGCCCTGTTTCCAGGCTGTTAGGTGCTAAACCAGGTGTGAACCTGTGAACCTATAATCCAGCACTCTGGGAGGCTGAGATAGGAGGATCAAAAGTTCGAGTCCAGCCAGAGATTTAGAAAGACTCTGTCTCAAAATATTTAGACGAGAGCTGAGGATGTAAAAAGTGAACTCCTAAGCTTCTCTGAATTCACCCGTGAAATAGCATGCAAACTAAATGTGGGTATTTGAAATCACTTCATGGGGAATCTGGAGCTGTGGTCTAGCCCTGTTTGTGCCACGCCAGGCACATCTGTAGCCCTGGACAGTCACGTGGTTAGGAGAGCCTTGAATCCCTTGCCTGTGGGAAGGGGCTTGACCCTCAAAAGTGACTTTCAGGAAGCCCTAGAGAGAGGAAGGATGAGGTGGCCTGTTCACATCAAAGTGTCTGGCCTGGCTTCTGCTGAGTTGCTAGAGGTGGAGTGAGGCATAGGCTGCAGGTTGGAGTAGCCCACACCAAGTGCATGCATGGGTTCTCACATTCCCCAGAAAGCCAGCATGGACAAGGGTCTCCCGGCTCCCCACCTCAGGCGTCAGAGCCTGGAAGGTTAGCTAGCTCTCCTCTGCTAGCCTGGCAGCCCGTGCAGCCCAGCCCAGCCTGGCAGTGTGGACGTGCAGGCCTGCGAGTGTCCTACCTGTCCCCCACATGGGAGCCTCGTCATCTTGCCTTCTGTCCCAGCCCAGTTTCCCCCGCCCCCAGGGCCTGGGAGCCGCTTTCCTGTTTCATTTTGGGCAGGAAGAATGAGGTCGTGTTGTTCTTCCCCCTGCTGCCGGCTCAGGCTGTGGGAACAGTTCCCTGAATCCTTTCCTGTTTGATACCCTGTGTGTGCAGGGAAGGGAACAAGGAGCAATGGGGAAGGCAGGGAGCATGTGCGTGCCCCTGGGCTCTGGCATGAGCATGCACGTTCAGGGCTGGCATACTGGGTGTGCAGCAAGGAGGAAGAGGCGGCAAGTTTGCTGTGTATGTTGAACCCCACTAGGAACAAAGCATCTGAGGGCTCTATTTCGCTTTACTGTGCACAGGCTGAGAGCTGGGAGGATTGCTCAGATTTTTGTCAATGGCTCATTTTGTCATGATTTACTCTCCAAGGGGTTATGTTTGTGGCTGCAGAGAGAGGACTGTGGCACCCTAGGGACTATCCTGTGCCTTAGAGGAAGCTGTGCATGAAGTAGACTGGAAACTCCCTTATTAGCACCTCAGCCAGAGAAACCCAGTCTGCAACAAAGTCCAGCAGCTCTGGGAAGACAAAGGAGCCAGACCCTTGCTCCCCGCCGGCTGCAACATGGGTGACCCCAAGGAGACCCCTGCACCATTTCCCTCCAAGGGCTAAGAGAAGAGCAGGGATGAAGGACCCAGATGTCCTCGTGGCTCAGAGGCCCCACTGTCTGATGAGGGAATCCTTTTGACTAAGAGCAAACAGGTAGGACTGGGAGCACCATAAGCTCCTTCCAGTGTGAGGAGAGGAGAGTCCAGCCAGAGGCGCATTTTCCCAGGAATGGTGGGAGCATAAAAGGGACAGTGGGAAATAGCAAACAACCTCAGAGCAATCAGGCAAGGAAGACTGGCCCAGGCTGGGGCCAGACAGGGGAGACTGGGCTCCCCAAGGACCAAGTGGGAACAAAGGCCCTTCACACAATACGCCCAACCAAGGGTGCCCCTAGCTTGCAGGGGTTCCAGTGGGGCACTGGGCAACAACGTGAGAATGTGGTTTAAGAGTCGTTTGGGGTGAAAAGATGGGAAGAGGATTCCCACTCTGCCATCACAAAGACAGGACCCAAGAAGTAAACTCCTGTACACATCTGTTCCGTATTATAAATACACATTATATACAAAATAATGTTATAAAATGTAGAAAGGCCAGTGCTTCTGATTCTTAAATTATCGAAATACTAGATTCCAAAATAAACTAAACAAACAAACAAAATAAAAACTCATATTATTGATTTCTGAAGATCGGCTTCTGGGGGCAGTAGTGGGCATGGGCAGAGCCCAGGCTCGAGGTTGCAGGAATGGGTTTGAGGGAGGGAAGGCCCAGGTGGCAGCAGGCCTGCTTCCTCCCTCACTGGAATTCCCAACCTAACTGCCCTGAGCTCTTCAGTGAGGCCTGGCACCCCCTGGCTGGAGAAGGGCCGGCCCTTCATCCAGCTGCTCACGGAGCCCAGAGCACCAGGGCCAGAGGGTGGTGGAACCAACATTATCCGGAATGCACAGGCCAGGGCGGGGCTGGCCTTCTGAGCAAGGCCCGTGTGCAGTCGTTGGGAGCAAAGGGCCAAAAGTACTCCTTGCCCCATGGAATGCCCGGCTCACCTGCAGAGCGATCCCTGCCAAGAGCTGCACCCAGGGGCTTTCCTGCCCACAGGAAGCCCTGGCCTTATTGCCCTCCTCTTCTTTCTGATTTGGGCCCACCTGCCACTACGGAGCCTGGGACAAAGGCACTTTTGGAAACACAGATGCCATTGGAGGCCACAGCAGCTCCAAGCCTCATGAGGCCACTGCCACTCTCCCTGGAAAACGGGCCAGAGCCCCAGAAGGTGCCTCCAAAGGCCACTGCTGGCAGGGCAGATCCAAGTGGCACCTCTCCTCTCTGCTCTTCTCCCCTGGCTGGCACAGCTGCCATGCGATCCCAGCAGGCACCCAGAGGTGCACAGGGGTGGTGCACGTCTTGGCAAGTTCCCAGTCCATCCAGTTCCTGCCATCCCCTCCTTCTCCTGAGAGCAGCATGGTTCGAGAGACGTCCCATTCAGGATGCAATGTAAACAGTGCAGAAGGAAGGTCCAACCACTGGGCCAAAGCTGGGGTGTTCTGGGCTGGCTTGTGCCTTATACCTGAGGAGAATTACAGAGTGCGGAAGTGGTTAGGCCGGGAATAAGTGCTCCCTCTAGGGTTGTCCTGGGCCTCCAGGGAGAAGCCAGTGGGGACATAGTAGTGAAGGGAAGGGGGGACAGTGCCCCCAGTCTTTGTCCCAATCAACACGCACATGCCCAGAGTGGAAGTAGGAAGGCATCCTCAGCCCCTAGCACTTGGGAAACAGTACCCAGGAGCTGGCCAGGGATCACACGGCCTGGCCAGACCCAACACTGCAGGGGAGACCTGGCCAGGTGTGCCCCTGGCTGGTTTCACACCCTCAGGTCACACCCTCATGACCCCCTGAATGTGCCTGCCAAGGAGGAGTTCCAACCCCCACTGCAGGAGAGGCATAGGGGTGAGAGTGGCCAGGTCTCTGTCCCGTCTGCACAAAGCAGGAGTGGACATGCTGGCAGCAGCAATGAACTCAGCACTCACCTCCGTGGCAATGACACATTCGTTCCTCTCTTCTGATATCAAACACACAGACTGGTACATGGACTCCCTGGGGGAGCATATCGCTGATATTCGACACTCTGGCTTTTCACTGAGGGAATACAAGACAGGCAAGTGAGGGAGGGAGGGAGCCAGGGAGGCTGGGGGAGGGGAAGGGTGCTGATCTAGACCCAGAAGACCCAAAGGGCACCTGAGTTGGGGGTCAGGGGAAACACTGGCCAGAGGTGCCCACTGCAGGCCTCTCGAGGGAGCAGTTAGGAGCAGGCCCCTAAGTGAGCCACAGGATGAAGGCCAAAGGCCTTAGAAAATGCACCACTGGCAATGGAGGTAAGCCATGCCATGGGAAGACGGAAATCACAAGAGATATACTGTGGACAAGTGACCTTCATGAATGAATAAATGAATGAATAAATGAATTGGAGGGCCTTCTCTAGGACCCCTTAGTAGATAGAAATCTTTAGATTTTTTTTTTTTTGGTACCAGGGATCGAACTCAGGACCTTGCGCTTTCAATGCAGGTGGTAGAACCACTGAGCTAAATCCCCAGCCCTGGAATTTTTTTTTTGAGACAGGGTCTCAATATATACCCCAAGCTAGCCTTGAACTTGCCATCCTTCTGCCTTAGCCTCCTGAGTAGCTCAGATTACAGGCATCCACTACCTCACCTAGCCTCTTAGCAGAAACCCTGTGAGCATCGTCCCATCAGTAACAAACCCCTGCCTGTTTAAAAGCACTTAGGGCCTAATGCTAGCCTCCCACCTGGCCTAGGAGCCCAGGTAAGACCATGTAGGGCCATGGCCAGCCCCCAGGCTTCCTGTTGCTGCTCACCTGTGTAACCGCAGTGGCAACTTTTCCCCTAAGCTCTTGTCACTGTGGGGATACTTCCCGGGCATGGTCCCCTGCCCCAGGGGGCCGGGGGCCAGATTATAGTCCAATGTGTGGTTCTGCTGTTTGCCACAGTTGGATTTGTCCAGACCACAGTCCACCTCCAGCTCCTTCTTCTGGTTTGTGTTCTTGAGCTGGGTGGCAGGGATCAGGTTGTCCTTCTGGAAGTCTGACAAGTTGTTCATGGCCTCCCTCCTGCCATCATCTGGCCGCCGGAGCCGCAACTGGCGCACAGCCACTGCCACCATGCCCAGCAACACCAGCACCACCACCAGCCCCACGCCCAGGGACACAGCCACCCAGGGGAAGCTGGGCGGCAGGCCCACAGGGAACTCGCAGTGGCTGCCCACAAAGCCGTAGGGGCAGTTGCACACGAAGTTGTCGGGGGAGAGGCCAGTGTAGCAGGTGGCCCCGTTGAAGCACGGCCCAGAGGCACAGGCATCGCTGGGTGTCCGGACCTCGCAGCGCATGCCAGAGAAGCCCGAAGGGCAGGTGCACACGATTCCATTCTCCAGGTCATGGCAAGTGCCACCGTGAGCACAAGGATGGCGGGTGCAGTCGCTGATGGGGAGTTCACAGTGGGGGCCTGTGAATCCAGGACGGCAGCGGCATACTCGGCTTGTACCTCTGTTCAGACACTGGCCCCCTGTGAGGATACACAGTGTGCAAGTCAGCAATGACCTGGGAATCCCCTGGCGCAGGGGGTGGGGGCCATCTCTGGAGCATGCTTCTGCCTCCATGCACACAGCCAGCACAGACAAAGCCCACTGCAAAGAGCTTCTCAGAGTCAGCGGACCGAGAGTTTGGGGCCACCCTGGTTGTCTGCACCTCAGGGGGCTCATGCAGCTACCATCTTACAGAACTTCAGAATGAAACAGAGATGCTTGGGTTTGAACCTCAGCTGGCCCTCTCAAGTGGGGACCTGGCACCTGTCACTTTACCCTATCCCTAACCCTCAGTCTCCTCATTTGCCAAAGTGGAGTAGAATATGACTGCCTTCGTAAGATAGCTCTGAGGGTCGGGTAGGAAGGTGCTCGAAGGCCAGAGCACACGAAGGCACAGAGTAAATGCACAACTAAATATAATTATCATCCTTTTGTTTCATCCTCACAACCACATCAAACACAGATGACAGACACTGTATCACACTTCCCCATTCAGTGGTGAAGACTAAATTGGCTCGAGGGAGTCAAGGGAGAACAGACTCCATCCCACACTCCCAGCCCCTCTCCAGCTCTGAGCTTCTCTTCTCCATAGTGCTATCGGCCTGCATCAGAGATAGTCACCGGGGCCCAGGAGGCAAGGACTGCTCAAAATATGCTGGGCACTATAGATGCCACACTGAGCTTCACTTGGCTTCGGGGAAGACGAGGCCTCCAGGAGCAGGGCTCTGCCTGTGTCACCAGCCCTCTTGAGGAGGGAACTGAAGCCCCCAAGGGCCCTCTCTTCAGCACAGGACTTCCCAGGGAGGGTCAAGGTCAGCTAAGGGCTGTGATGGAACGGGAGTGGAAGTCACACCCAGTGCACACCACTGCCTCTCGTAGGCCTGTTGCTAACCTGCTCTCCTCCAAAGTCCCCAGCTGATCAAGCCAGCTCTTCACCTCCAGAGCAAAGGGTCGCCACTCTCCAACCAGCCAGCCAGAGTGCTAGGACCCTCGAAAGCTCGCTTAGCCCCAGAGCCAGTGGGCCAGGTTAACAGGGCCACAGGCTTCACTTACCATTGGCACAGGGGTTGCTGGTGCACCTGTCCACTTTCTTCTCGCAGTTGGAGCCGGTGAAGTTGGGGGGGCATTCACAGGCATAGCTGGCCCCCTGGTTGTGCTCCCGGCAGGAGCCTCCATTGAAGCAGGGGGAGTCGGCACAGGTCAGTGTGCTGTGCTCGCAGTGTAGACCATAGTAGCCTGGGGGGCACAAGCAGTGGTAGCCATCCTCCTGGTCCTGGAGAGAGATGGTAAAGGGGCTAAAGTCAGAGCCTGGTGGACAGGGGGCCAGGGGGCATCATTGGGGGCTGGGTTCCACTCGCCCACAGTGCCTGTCCATGGCTGGGCAGGCCAAGATACCGCCTGGCTGGACCTCTGTCTTTCAGCACTCACCTTACAGCTGCCCGCATTGCGACACGGGTTGCTGTCACACTTGCTGAGTTCCAGCTCACAGTCAATGCCGGTGTAGCCTGGTCGACAGGTACAGGTGTAGCTCCGCTGCCCACTGTTGGAGCACGTGGCCCCGTTCTTGCACGGTGAGTGGTGGGTACAGTAGTTGAGATCTGCAGAGACAGGAATCAATGAGCCAGGGAGACTTGTGCTTCTTGGCTCCTTACACTGCCATTTCACCCCCAACAACCCCAAGAAGCTTCAACTCAAAGCCTCCTGGCCCTAAATATGCTCCCCACGAAACAAAGTCGTGTATACTGAAGCACCTGGAGCCACATGTGGCTGATGCATTTAATCAAGGTCGCTGAAATAGACAACGGTCTGCCAGGTAAGCTCGCGGACACCAGCACGCAGAGTGGGGTGAGGGTAGGACAGGAGGAGGGAGGGCAAGGCTATGGGTGAAGGAGGGTCGGAAAAGGCTTTGCGTAGCAGGGGCTGCTGAGATCAGCCTGGAGGGAAGGGAAAAATTTCAGCAGGTGGCCTGGAGGGGAGATGAGAGCCACCTTAGGTGGTAACCAGATATTTTTCAAAGAAAGAGGGGTTTTTTTGTTTTGTTTTGGGGGTTTTTTTGGTACTGAGGATCGAATTCAGGACCTTGGATTTGCAAGGCAAGAGCAGCACCACTGAGCTAAATCCCTGGCTCAGGACTTTTTTTTTTGGTACTGGGGACCGAACTCGGGACCTTATGCTTTCGAGGCAGGCACTGGAACCACTGAGCTAAATCCCCAGCCTGGGAAGAGGTTTTAAAAAGGTATTTTGAAGGATAAAGATTTGTTTTCTTATTGGGGAAGAACAGAAAGGGAGAAGCAGCAGCAAATACAGGGTCTGTGAGGTTGTGTTTCCATATGACGAGTGTATATAGGAGTGTCACTTGGGAACACGTGTGCACAGAGGAGAGAGAACAAGTGGGAACCAGGTGTGTGTGTTGGAGAGGGGCAGGGAAGAGAGGGAGAGTCACACACATGGAGAACACAAGGACTGTGCCATGCCCTTGAAAACATCCAGTCAGGGCCAAGGCAAGTTCAGTCCAGCAATCCTGCACACCCTCCCCAGGCCTGTGTGGAGTCCCCATGGCAGCAGGCATCCCACTTGACCCTGAAAGTGGGAGGTACACACTGCAGCTGGCTACAAGCACACAGAAGAAAGGCTTCCCTCCCCCAAAGTCAGGACATTAGCTGTGTAGACAGAAGAGCAACTAATACCAAACACCAGGTAGAGAGCTTATGTGGGCTCAGGTAGTTGCCTGCTGAGTGCCACTGGGGGAGAGAAGGGGAAGCTCTTTGTGCCCACATCTGAAAGTCAGTTAGATGTCCCTCCCTCCACCCAGAGGCCCAGCTCAGCCACAGTTTGGGCAGCCAGTGGGCACACCCCACCAGACAGCTGTTTAGGGGAGAGCTGCTCAAACAGCCCTGCGAGGTAAGCAAACACTCAGGGGGTTAATAGGTAACTACAAGGCAGAAAGAGGAACTGAGCCTAGCATCCCTCTCTTTGGCCTTACTAGAATTTATGAGGGCAACCTCCAGGCTGCCAATCTGTCACACTGCTGGCTTCTTCTGCCACTCTAACTCCAGAGCCCCTGGAGAAGAGGGACCCATCATCTCATTCTAGGCCAGCTGTTAAGATCCTTTAGAAAGTCTCAAGATCTTTGAAGGATCATGAGAAATCCAAGTTAGCAGTCACTGCAGAAAAAAGGTCCAGGCTCCCAGCCCCTGCCTCCTCTGTCCCTCCCTGACTCACCTTGATCACAGAACAGACCTCCCCAGCCCTCATGGCAGGTACACTGCCAGGGGGTGCTGCAGGTGCCGTGGCGACAGCCATTGTGGGGGATGCATTCGTTGCATAGGCGGCCCTGCCAACCTGGGCGGCAGCTGTGGGACAAGGGTCAGGCTCAGTGGGGCGAGAGGCCTGGCCAGGGAGGGCACCCCCACGTTCTCTCCCCTACTCACAGGCACTCTGCTGGCTTGTTGCAATAGCCGTTCTGCTCATGACAGCCAGAAAGACAGAGAGCTAAAGAAAGAAAACATACGGGCTGAGGTCAGGGTTCTTGGGACACTGATGCTCCACTCTCCCTCCACACCTGGGGGTGCCTGCTCTGCTGGGCTCGCTTCCCACTCTGGGCCTCCAAAAGGAGCCACGGCTATCTTAAGGGAAAGGAAGACACAAGGAAGGAGTGGGTGGAATGCATTGGGGGTCCTTGTAGGTTTGGCATGATGGGGAGACGCACCAGGGAAAGAGGGGCGGTCCGAGGTGAAGCCTCCTCAGCATCCCCATGGCCCTGAGGCCCAGCTCTGGGAGGGCCAGACTGTGGCTGAGAAGGACCACCCTTGCTGCACAGGTGGGGGCCTGGATGCTTACGCTGTTCGCAGTACTCCCCAGTCCAACCGGGCAGGCAGGACAGGCTGCCATCTGGCTGGCACACGTAGTGGCCGAAGTGGTCATTGCGCTTCTTGCACAGGCGTGAGCAGCTGTCCCCATAGTAGTTGTCACTGCAGATGACCCGGTAAGAGTAACGCAGCCTCGTGAGTGTGCTGGTTTGCTCATCTGGTAACCAGTTCTGACCCACAGGCAGGGAGCCCTGGATGGCGATCTTGCTGATGAGGGCATCTGGTGGCAAGGCCTCTAAAGGGGCAGAGGCCAGGTCAGAAAAGGCAGCCTGTCCTCCCTGCCATCCCCTCCAGCTGTGGTTATGCTGGTCAGCTGCAAATCTGCCTGGTGTCCAGATCACCCCAGCCTGCCAGCAAGCACAGGCCAGAGGGACCCAAGAGTCCCGCTGCTTAGCTGCCCTGTGTGCATGTGCAGGGGACCTGATATCATTCAAAACAGGGACAATAGAAGGATGTTAAGATATCCCAGTGCTCTGGAGGCAGATAGGGAGGAGAAAGAGGAAAAGAGGTCAAAATGGAAAACATAAAAAGGGGCAGGGGGGAGAGAAAGAAAAAGAAAAGCTTTCCAGGCAAGAAGCCCTAGGCGCAGGCTTCTCCGGTGCCTGCTCAGGGGTTCTGCTCCCAGAGGTAAGTAGCGGTTTTCTTTTTTCCTTTTCAAAGTGAGAATTGTTGTGCTGCTGAAATATCCTTTTTCCTCTATGTCAGAACAACATCCCAAAGCCATTATTCCCTTTCCAAAGGAGCGGAATTCGCGAAAGGTGTAAAATACAGGAAGGGGCCCGTCAGCGGCGCTGGCAGCTTCGGCCTTTCTCACTGCCGTGCTCCCCGCGTTCCCACGCCAAAAATAACCCGCAGGAAACGCAATTGTGCTCTGAGTCCAGGCAGCGAGCGGAATCTGAGCGTCCATCGCGGGGCGCAGCTCCCGGCCAAGCAAAGCGTCCTGCCCCCCACCCCAACGCCGCGCTTCCCCCGCCTCGGACACGTTAACTCTTTAGGCGCTGCGCCGTGTCGCCCCCCTGTGGCTGAGCAGGGAGACACTCACTCACCTGGCCGCAGGTCGTCTCCTGGAGCGTGCCAAGCTTCAATGATGAGGGAGAAGGTGCCCTGGGAAGCGAAAGCGGGTGGGGGATGAGAGAGCGCGAGATGAGCAGGGCCAGAGGGGAGGGGCGGCTCGCGGCGGCCGGTTTAATTAATCTAATTGCAGGATACAGTTACGGCGCCCGGGTCCACATAACGGGTCTGCGTGCATCGTGGCGCGGGCGGGGAAGGCGAGAGGAGAACCCAGGATCGGGGGAGGGATGAGGGTGAGGAGGGTGAGAGCGGGGGGGGGGCGGTGCGGCAGGCAGGGTGCTTCGTAATGAAAATCGCGTCTCAAGAGCTGGGGGAAGGGAGGGCGAAAGACTGGCAAGACAGAGGCTGCTGAGTCTTCTCAGGGATGAGGTCCCAGGAGAGAGTCGAAAAGAAAGGGCCAGGACAGACTGCATCCCTGGGCATTTGGGGAGGGTCTCGGGAGGGGCCTTGGTCCCAGGGTGCTCCCTTCTTTGGCTTCTGAGACCTCCCAGCTCGCCCAGGTTGTGCTCACCGGCCAGGTAAAATTGAAGGGCAATTGGAGAGGGTTTCGGCCCCCGCCGCTACTGTCCTCCCCGATGGCGAAGGAGTTGGTGCCCAATATCGGCGTGGAGACGCTGCCGAAGGTACAGGGCCCGGGCGAAACGACTGCCTGGAAGTGCTTTAGGCAGACACGGAAGAAAGTCCGGCAGCCGGGCTCGCACGGCCTCCCACTGGCCAGAACGCCGCGCTCGTTGGCGAACTCCTGCAGCTGCAGCTGGAAGACGCCGGAGCCGGCTGCGCGCTATTGCATGGGGACCAAGGGAAGGACGGAGGAGAGCGGTCAGCTCAGCGGGCGCCGGGGCTCGAGCCCGAGCGCGGCGGGAGGGGCGGAGAGGACGCGGGACGTTACCTGCTGCCAAAGTGCCACCAGCAGCAGTAGCGCCCAGCCGGAGCTGCTCCGGGTCGCGGCCGCCATCCCCCGAGGCGTTGCGCGCTGCACTTGCTGGCCCTGAATCGGGTTCTGTCGGGGATGCTGCTTTCCCGCGCGTCCGCCCGCCAGGGGGGGTCCCTGAAAAGCCGGCTGCTCTTGGAATGCTCCTCCCCCGCCGCCTCCACGCTAGCTCCGCGGCAGCTGCCTCGTAGGTAATCCAGGTGAGGGCCACGGGGCGGCGGCCGCGCTAAAGACGTGTCCTCAGGCTAATCCTGGGGCTACGCGCGGGCAACAGCGGGGTGCAGGGCACCGAAGCGCTCGGCTGCGGCTATCGGCCTCGCTTTTCTGGCTTGCGCGCAGCGCCGCTACTGAAACCTGCGCGCTCGGGAGCCGTCCTTATATATATTGGCTCTTCTTATCGCCGCCTGTCACTCAGACTCAGGGTCAGTCTCTCCTCCCCTCCCTGCCTCTCGCTACAGTCCCAGGGCCGACCGGAGGGGGCCGCCGCCCCTCCCTCCCAGCCAGTCGCGCGCAGGTCCCGCCCCTCGGTTCCTCTCCCAGCCCCCGGGCCCCAGGCTCTGCGCGGGCCGAAGTGACCAGTCCACCGTGATCGCCTGGCTAAGGGCTGAGACCCCAGCTGCCTAAGGACGGGGGGCGGCCAGGAGATGGGGCGGGAGGTGAGCGGGCGGTTCCCGAGTGGTCCTGGGGGCGGAGACACTAGGGAGTCCTCGTAGGCGGTGCATCCGCGGGGTGCTGTTACTTGCAGTCCTCCAGCGGGTAAAGAACTTAAACCCCAAAAGCGAAAATAAATGCCAGGAGACGCAGATCTATTACTTTTTCCCGGAGCTTCTGGACCCCTCGCCTCGTCGGCCTCCAACCTCGACTCGCCCGCCCACCACGCGTCCCCAGCGCAGCGGGGAAGCCAGGGAACAGCTCGTTAACCTCTGCTCGGGCGCTCGGAGCTCGGACTCGGGTCGCGCTCCCTGCACCTCGTGGGCGTCTCCCTCTCGCCTGCGGGGCGTGCCCAGCGCGTGCCAGCTCCTCCCGCCCAGACCCCCGCTCGGCTCCGCTCGTGCCAGCGCCGGGACTCGCGGTCCCCGAGGTGGGGGAGGCGGGGCGTGGTCCCCAAGGTAGGCGAGGGCGCGTCCTCAGCTGTATGGTAATGATGCTCCGGCCCCTCCTTCAAGGTCTGCTCACCTGGTTCCGCTTCAGTTCCCTCGCCCACCCTGCCCCCCTCCCGTCACCCCTAATCCCCCGCCCGCGTCCTATCGCTTCTCTGGGGCAGGGAGGAACTCTCCAGACTCCAGAGTTGCCTCAGGACACTGGAGAGTGCTGGTGGGGGCTGAGGCCAGACAACTCCACGCCTCTCGTAGGGCGGCTGCGGGCTGGAACTGCAGGAGCGGGAGTTGGGTTTCGGTGGGCTCCAAGTCTCGCCCGCGCGCTGTCCGGGTGGCCTCCTCGCTCTGCGCGCCAGGGCGCAGCTGCCTTCCCGGAACCCGGCGCGATCCCTGGAGGCCTCGGACTGGGGAGGGCCAGCTTCGCCCAGTCTCCCGGGTGCCCGGGGATCTCGCGCGGCAACGCCGCAGGCGGCGGGGCCCTGTGGCTTCAGCTGTCAGCCGTGCGCACAGCGATGGCTGTTTCTGGACGATAAGATCAGTGCAGGGGGAGCGGGGACGCGGCGCGGGCCCCGGGGAGGCCGCGGGGCGGGGCGGGGGGGCGCGGAGCCCAACAGATGCTATTGCCAAGCGTGGTCTGATTTTTTGACTTGGGTGGTGGTGGTGGTGGTGGTGGTGGTGGATGGGGGTGTGTGTGTTAAGAATCAAGAGGTTGTGAGCGTGGGTTAGGGGAGGGACGAGGTGAGACGGGCACCGGGGTCCCCCACGCACGGTCACCCCTCCCAGCCACCATCTGGCGCGAGCGGGTTGGCGTGGGGACCCGAAGTGGGGCGGGGGCCGGCAGATGGGCCCAGGCTGCGCTCAGAGTTAATGTAGGTTATAGACTGGCGGAGTCCCAGGCCCTAGGGAGGGGGGGCCCAGGGCGTGCCTCCCAGCGATCCTGCCAAGTGGGCTTCCAGATCATCTCTAGAGCACTCTCTATGGACCTGCCTAGGATGCCAGAGGGTGCTCTCCTTGAGCTGGCACCCAGCCCCATCTAACTCTGTGGGCTCCCACCCCCAAATTCTGGCCTGGGAATTCATAAAAACATGCTCTTTTCCTGGCACAAGCATTTGCTTGACCCTCAAGGGAAAGGTCTTCTCCCACGTGGCATCCCTGGTATTAATAGTGGTGGACCTGGGCCGGGGATTTAGCTCAGTGGTTCCAGTGCCTGCCTCACAAGCGCAAGGTCCAGAGTTCGATCCCTGGTACCAAAAACAAAACAAAACAAGAACAAAAATAGTAGTAGACCTGAAACTATTCTCTACCCTCAGGCACAACTGGAGTACTTCGGAAATGACCAAGGAACAAGAGTTGAGGTCATGATTATCTTCACAGATGGGCAATGCAAGGGATCCCAGAGATGTAGAAAGCCCCTGACCCAGGGAGGAAGGAGTTGAATTCTCCTCAGAAGCACCTATTTGGTGGGAGCACTGTCCCAGGAGCTCCTTTCCTGGCCAGGATGCCACCCTGGTCCTGGGTACCTACCTGGAGGTTTGCTAACCTGGAGAGGGTCCCAGTATGAGCAGGGCATCCCAGTTCTCGAGGGCCCTACTGTCTCTAGAGTCGTCAAGTGAGCTGGAACTCTCTTCTCCCAAATGTGACTTGAGGGCAAAAAATGTAGGGAACATAGTCTGGGCTCAAAGGAGCAGGAGGCTGTGAGGAGACAGGAGGCTGCAGAGCACGGTGGGACTAGACACCCATTGAAGTCTGCTGATGCTACCCGCAAGACTGGGCACAGACCCCGGGCCTGACCAACCTGGGCTCCTGCTGAGCAGGAACCTTTGTTCCCCTGAGCACAATGGAGACCTGGGCACCTGCAAGGATCACAGCCACTGCCCCCAGAGGCCTCTGCTTCTGCTGTCCCCTTCGCTTGGCCACCACACACAGTTCCGCCAAGCAGACCAGACCAGCGCCTGGGGCCCGGAAAAGCTATGGTTGCCTTTCACCCGTGCGCTCAGAGGACCCCGGGCTATTGGGGCTCACAGGAGCCACACAGAGCTTCAGGACCCCTTGCTCTCCACCCAGTCTGACTCGCTCCGGAGCTGCGGGAGCAGGCTGGCTTCGCCCCTCCTCTCCCCAGCATCGCTCCCTGGGGACCCACCCGGCAGAAGCCCCCCAGAGTGCGGGCCACAGCACCCGCGGGGCAGGCCGGAGGCGGGGAAGCAGGCCTGGCTGGGGCGGGGCAGCTAAGCCTTAGGGGCCCCGCTGCGGTCGCTGCGGAGAAGGGGCCACGTGAAGAGAGCTGCGGCCGGGAGCTGCACAGAAGGCGGGGAGATTTGCAAACTGTTGCTGCCACATGGCTGCTCCATTCGATCCATTCACATTGAAATGAGGCCGGCGCGTGCCTCATCTGCCGCAGGGCGCTGCCACGCGTCAGCCCGGCCCAACGCGTGCCAAGTGGGGCAGTGGGGCTGACAGGCCTGGCAGCCGGGGGCGCGGCCAGGAGGGGCAGGGAGAGCGAGTCAGCTACCCTCGCCTCCCAGGCGCTGCAGTTCTCGGACCCCGGCCTCCGTCGGGAGTGGGCCAGCAGGAAGGACCGGGGCACACGGTTTCGGAGGGGGCCAGGATCGATGCCGCCGCACCCCGCAGATGCGCCCGGGCAGCGCTACTCTCCATCTGCCGCTGCTCGCACCTGCCGGTCAATAAAATCGATTTTACAATTTAATGCAGCAGCTTCCCGCCCGCCTGGGACAGATGCCGCCGCAGAGGCACCTCCGCTCCGGCCCCGGCCGCCCCCGCCCCCGCCCCCGCCCGGCAGGGTAGGCACGGCTCCCGTTCCGTGGCGGTCCAACCTCGGTGCTCCTCTCGTGGGAGCCCCGACAGGGAGCCGCCTGCTCCGGGCTTTCCCCGAGGGACACAGTGGCTTCCCCGTAGGAGAGGCCTGAGGCTGGGTGAGGAGAGGAAGCTGATTATTGGGCGATGGCCTTGAGGACTCGCCTGGGCGCTTTCAGGGAGAAGGAGGAGGCAGTGACTGGTAAGGAGATGTGAGGAAGAGGAGGGATGTGGGGCATAGGTACTGGAGGACCCTGAGTGAGAAGACTCCCCGGAGGAGGAGGACCGGGGCCTGGAGGGCTGGGGCCTCTGCCCTCCCTCTGCGTCAGTCTGGTGAGGTAGCATGACTGCGTCGGGCTCTCGGCCTGTGTTAGTCACCTTGGGCTTCTAACTTTATTTCAGCTCGACACCTCATTTTCTCATCTGTGCAATGGAAATAATAATGCAAGTGACCTATGAGGGCGACAGAGGGAACATATCAGATTACCGAGCTGCACTACCTAAAAAACCACCATTTCTTCTCTCCCTCAGGTGATGGACTTTCAGACAGCCAGGGGTGACTTGGAGAGACAGGGTGATGCTGGCAGCAAATGCACTCCAGGAAGAAAAATGAAAGCCGGAGATAAACACTTACAAAAGATGAGGCACGTGGAGCAGAGAGGTGAAAGAGAAAAAATGAAAAGGCCAACTCTTTGGGGGCCTTCTGCGGGGACAGGGTGTGACCAAGTTCACGGGGAGGGGGCAGAATTGAGTTTTGAGAATGGATTTGGAGAAGAGGTGACAGTTTGGACGAACCAACTGCCTACAGCCTTAGCCTTCCAGATGACCTTCCTTCCAAGGCCAAGTGTAGGTCTCAGACTGCAGCCCTCCTCCTCAACTCCTGAATTGCCTGATCACTGAGGGTGCTCAGGAAAGCTCAGCCTTCCCCATGTCCCAAGAGACGACAACTGGGCTAGCGAGTCCGCCAGCAGGTAGCTCATGGCTGATGACCCAGATGTGCTACTGAAAGGATGTCCCAGTGGCTAGGACCATTGGGTACAGTCGGACACCAGGGGGGACCTCCCACACCTCTCCCCCGGGGTCCCAGGAGCCTGAGGACCGAGGTTAGGCCCACACTGCCTTCTCGACAGACCCAGTGTAGGTGGTGCCTGGAACTGGGATAACTGGTGTAGACTGTGCCCTCTGCGTAATAAGAACAGCTCTGGCCTACAGAGACAGGGGCCCAAGAATGAAGAAGCTAAGGGTCCTAGAAGCTTCTTCTGTGACTCCTGGATGCTAGGAAGCTCTCCCTAGGTCTCCTGGGCACAGGTCAAGAGGAGAGAAGAGGGAGGAGGGGCAGGATGAAGGTCTGGCCGCTGCAGAGGCTGAAACAGGCCAGGCTGCAAGGGCTCACTGAATGGTCACCGGGCAGCTGCCCCCACTTCTGC